ACCAAGTAGTTTGTTGGGAGTACGGTTAATTAAATAAACAGCAGTACGAACACATTCCCCCAGAATTCAATAGGTAAGTGAGCTTGAAACATAAGGGAGCGGGCGACATTTAATATGTGTCTATGTTTTCGTTCTACCCGTCCGTTTTGTTGTGGAGTACCTACACAAGAAGTTTGAACAAGAACACCCAAAGTGGCATAATATGACCGAAGGTCTTGATTGACAAATTCGGTGCCATTATCAGAACGAACAATTTTTATGGTTTTATGTAATTGGGTCTGTATCATGGAAAAAAATTGTTTCAAACAACTAGGTACTTCAGATTTATCGATGATCAAATAGGCCCAAACTGCACGAGAATGGTCATCGACAATAGTGAGAAAATAATGTGCACCAGTAGCTAAACACGGGGTGTAGGGCCCCCATAAATCACAATGTATTAGATCAAAAACACTTGTAGTTTTATTGGAACTAATAGGAAAAGAGCTACGAACTTGTTTGGATTGGAAACAAATTTCACATGATTGTAATAATTTAAGTTTAGAGCTACTGGCAGAAGGAATAAGAGACGACAAAACTTGAACAGATGGATGCCCCAAGCATTTATGAAGGAGAGAAGGATCCACTTGGGTAGCAAATGCTGTAGAACATGGACGAAACATGAAAACTCCATTGTGTGCATCACCCCGTCCAATCTCCATCTTCGTGACACAATCCTGTATCACACAACAGTTTTTGTTAAAAATAACAAGACAAGAGGTATCCCGAATAAGACAACCAACAGAAACAAGATTGCACTGCAGATGAGGAACAAGCAAAATGCCCCGAAGCACTACTTCGGGTGAGAGCCGCACACGGCCACATCGAGTGGCTGTAGTCTGTGTGCCATTGGGCAACGTGATGACACAGGGGGCCATGGGAACCACATCAGTTAAAAGAGAGATATTACCAGTCATGTGATGAGAGGCGCCACTGTCAATAAGCCACTCACGAACCGATGCCTCACCATTAGACCCAGTATCCTTGTCGGAAGAAGAGACGTCGAGCATGGAAAGTAACCGAGTCATCTGATCAGGTGTGAGGCCTAGGGCGTTGGAATTGGTGGTTGCATTTGCTCCCCCTGTCGCCGATCCTACCCCTCGGCCAGTCCCACGCGGCCAGGGGCGCTACTACCGCCGGACGGCGTTCGGCCTGCGCCGCGACCCCCACGGCCCGATGTAGTGCCGCGGCCCCCACGCCCCTTTCCGGGCGGGTAACCATGCAATTGATAACACCGGTCCACCGAATGTCCATCTTTTCCACAATGCGTGCACGAGTAATTGGGGGGGTCTCCACGACCCATGGTAGGAGCAGGACGTTGCATGGCAAAGGCAAGAGCATCCGTACGGTCATCTCGGCCACGGACAATGCTCTTGTGGCGTTCCTCTTGAACGATGAGTGCATAAGCCTGGTGTATGTCCGGAACAGGTTCGGTGGCAATAATCTGAGACCAGATGTGGCCGAACTGTTCGTCGTCAAGCCCGAGCAAAAAATGATGAGTCTTCTCCTGTTCCTCGCGCGCCCGAATCAAAGCCGCAGCCTCACACCGGCAACCACACGTTGGATCAACAGATCCATATAGCTTGTTCCACAAAGTCACAAATTGGTTATAGTAGACAACCACAGTTTGTCCCTTTTGACGCAAAGATTGAAACTCAGATTTCAGTTGGTGAATACGAGGTCCATTGGANATGGGAGATAATGGAAGGTTGGATGTGTTCATCAACACTGTTACAGATCCAAGAACAAATTATGGAATTATTAGCTTTCCATGCCGCCAATTCCTGTTCATCAGTGGGTTTAGGAAACCCGGAAGGATTGAGAAAACCTGCTCTACTACGCCCTTCTAGAGCATTAATAATTGTTTTCTCCCAAATATCATAATTATCACCTTTGAGAAGATGTTTTGTCAAAGAATTACCCGCGCTTTCTGACGGGTGGATGTAATACGGGGAGGTAGGGTCATGGATGAGCCTGACCTTCTTTGTTCCTTCGGTTGTCATGAGGCCAAAAAAATATGAAGCACCGACGTGAGGCGGTGACTACGCGACCGACGTGAGCCGGGGTTGAAGAGACCGACGAGAGCCGGCGTTGCAAAGCTGGTGACCGACGTGAGCCGATCGGAGAAGGAAGACCGTCGTGAGGCGGTCGGTGGAGCTACGGCGGCGGCACCGTGCGAGAAGAAGAGACGAGCCTAAGGTTTGAGAAAATCCCGGGAGATTGGCTCCGATACCATGTAAAATTTTGGAAAAACTGAGCTGGCTTTCATTCAATATTCACAACGTATATATACATGTGCCAAGTCCTACTCCAAGTATGGAAAGGACTACTAACCAGGAAACTAATTACATATATGGTAGTAAATAAATATATATGATAACAAAGCCTTTGGGGATTATAACATTTTGGTGGGGTTGCAAGGTTTTTGATTATTATTTAAAACTAATATTTTTAACCCTATCTTAGTTTTAACTCGTGAAACAATGACATAAAGTTAACTAAGAGTGAACTCCAACCCAGTTAAAAATAATCCAAAAAATGATAATATTTGACATTGACTTTTATCCATAGATAACGTAAAGCGTTCATTGTCGTATATCTTCCTCTGGTTTTCATTCATTGTAGATATATAATTACTTCCTCTGTTCTAAAACCTTCTTCCCACTTCTTCATTTTATGGCAAAGAGCATTGTAAACGTCATACCACAAAAATGAAAACAAGAAATTACATTGTTCACTGAGCTAAGTTAATGAAGTGTTATATTTCATTTCCACAAGTCCACAACATGCCACTCCCTTGATAGTTTGTTTATGTAATTTATATGACGTTAACTTTGAGCTTTTTCTATGTTAGAGATTTGGCAATGTTTGGCAGTTATATTAATAGCTATTATATTACTCTGTATTATTCTTTCAATTAATAGGTATTAATAGCTATCATATTAATAGTCTCTGATCTGCTCTGTATATAGTAAGGCTAATATTTGCATGCACACTCCATCCATGGCTCCATATATAGACTATACTATTTGTAGGACTTTATTGAGATTGTTGTGCTTTGTGTCTAAATTTTTCTGTTCGAGCCGCATGCTTCATTTCCTTATGTTTATGTAGTGTTCATGCAGAGCAATGCAATGCAAAGTGTTACTTTGTACTTTTACTAATTGTTCAGTTTCGTTTGTTCCCCGCTCTTCAAACTCTCTAGCCCATCTTTTGGCTACAATGGCCTATTCCCAACCCCAAACTATGTACTGGGACTCTGTTCCTCCTTTTTTTTTCTTTGATTAATCATATGTGAGTTTTTTCCTTCAAAAAAAAAATTACAGTCCTTATTTTTTGGTCAAATTTTTTAATTTTTGACAGTGACAAAACCATCAAGCTCTAACAAAATGAGCTATATGATTCTGGGTGTCTCTAAGAAACCATGGCGTCAAGAAAGGTGATTTAGTTTCTTTATAATCCAGTTCAATTGATTTATTTTTGGGTTGTGTATAAGTGAAATAAGTATTGTTGGTCGTTTTGTTTGCATTATTATACCAAAATGATATTTTCCCAGTTAGATATTAGAACATTTCAGAATGATTTTTGTTTCACTTAACTTTTTCTCGACAGTGGCGCATCTTGATGCATATGCAATAGTAGGGAAGAAATTAAAGACTTATTTAAATATTAAAATTTTTTATGCTTTACATAAAGTATGCCTCAACTAAATCTTTGTTTAACCACTCAGTTAAATGCATAACACCCAAAATCAAAATTCCATATGACAAACACGTGCATACTCCCCCAGCCCGTGCTTCGCACGGGTAAAAAACTAGTAATTTCTTAAAGACGTGCAACCCAAAAAAAATGGGGGGAGGGGGGGGCTTTATGATGGATATTGGGATTGATATATTATATTCCGTAAATTTTAGGCCTAATAGCCCAAGTTTTGTTACATAGTAGATGTTGTAATGCCTTGAATCTGACCCGTTATAGCAGGGAGTACACAATATTGATGTATTGGGCTTCTAATTATCTGTTAATTCTGTAGTTTTGGGCCCAAGTCTGTTAGGATTTAGCCAAACACTATTTATATGGGTGCTACCACAAACCCTATGTTGTATTCTGTTCTTTGCCTCTCCGTCCGTTATAAAATCCCCCCCTCTTTCTGTAGATGTAGCCAACACAACGTTGGTGAACCACGTTAAATCTGTTGTCGTGTTATTTTTCTCGTTTACATATTTGTTATTCTCAAATTTCGCATAACACTAGATAACCCTTGGGAGAAGTGCAAGTGGACGACCCACAAGTAAGCCTATAAAGGCTAGATATATAGGTAGGTGTCACACTGTATGTAATCGACTGAAATACACTTGATTGGTTTGTCTGTCATCTACATAACAACCTTTAATAGTGAAGGATGAAGACGAATGAACACTGTAATTGAGGAGTATAAACAACCCTTCCGAGAACTGATATCTATATGGACCGTGCTACAGTGCACCCACCCATGCCTCCTCTGCTGCCTCCCTATTTAAGGTATTTTTTTTTACCTTTTCTCCTTCTTTTTTTTCTCCTTTCCTCTATGTTGCTCTGGATCTGCTCTTCCGCGGCAACGACCCGCTTTCTTCTCCCTTTCATGTGATCTCCTTTTTACAAGCCGGCAGGTAATCTCTTCTTTTTCTTATCTTCATCTTCATATCTCTGATGCGCCAACCCCTGTAGCACGACAATTCCTCTGTCAATCTCTTCTCTTCATTCCATTTTTAGTCAATTTCTATGGCAATAATTTTTTGAATTTTTGTAAAGTACATAGGATATTTGGTGATTATGGACTTACAAACATCTATTGTTACACATGTTGAGAATGAGCAACCACATGATTTTGGTGGTGAAGAAGAAGACCTGGTTTTATATGAGTTGCAGCCCAGTTGTAAGTGTTGATATTTAGACCCCATTCTATATTTATTTGAAGTAGTGAAAAAAAACTGTTTTGTTTTCGTGTTACAGAGATTAAAGTTCTGTGAATCTAGGGTTTGTCCTTGTCATAGACGCTAATTATCTGTATGAACTCTGCATTTGGTGTATTATTGTTTTCTTCATAGTCAGGTATTTTATTATATTAAAGGTACTGTTTTTTGCAGCTTTTGAACAAGATTTTTTTCTAAACGATCCTTGCTTTCAGTATTTATTTAACGACGAAGGGCAAGAACAGGCGAGAACACTATCTGGCTTATGCTCGAAGTGTAGGATTTCCAATGCAGACTAGGACAACTTGCAAAGCCAAAGATGGAACTCCTAGAAGTGTTACATTTGTGTGTAGTCGACAAGGAAATAAAAAGAGCAAAACACAAGATGTGTTCCACCATTTTTGCTTTTTGCTTTTTGTGTAAAGTATGTAACAAGTATGATAACTTTCTCTGAGTTCCCTGCACATAAACTAATGTAAACCTGATGTAACTCTGTCTTCACATACATTAAGTCTCTGTGAAGTCTGTGACATAGACAGTTATTCCATGTAAGCACCAAGAAATCTAATGTATGCGTTTTAACTTTGTTTTTAGCTATACAAGACCCCCAGATATATGATGAAATTCTGAAGATGGTGTATGTGCATAACGTTAAGTAACTCTGTCGTCACATACATTAAAGCTTTGTGTAATGGGTAAAATAGACAGTTAATCATTCATCACACACAGTAACAGATTGTGCATTATCATGTAGAAATTCATGATGATAAAAGCCCCATTACAAAAAAATCAAAAAAATCTGAAGTGCATAACATTATGTAACTCTGTCACATACGTTGAAGCTCTGTGTAAAAGGTAAAATAGACGGTTATTCTCTGTGAGGGCTCTGAAATTAAATTTGTAATTCAGTCATAAACTAAGGTAAATCATTCATAACACACAGTAACAGATTGTTCATTAACAAGTAGAAATTCATGATGCTAAAAGCCCCATTACAAAGCTTTCAAAAAATCTAAAGTGTTTCTCCAAAAAATACATTACAAAACACAAAAACCATTACAAAGAGTTTCACAAAAATTAAAGATCCCTAAAATTGTAAACTAAATATTGGTTGTTTTCCTTCCACGCCATAACCTAGCTGCAAATTGACATCGGAAATCAGCCATGTGTTCAGAACTGCAGTCCGGGCTTAATGGTAAGGCTAGCAACAAATACTCTAGAAATGCTAGCACCATCACTCCACAATTGCCATACCTGTAAGGGAAAATAGTATTAAAATAACAAGCAAACCTCTTTCACAAACAATAATGTTTTATGAAGTTCAATAAACAGAAGTTAATCGTCTATGAGATACAATTCACAGAAAGCAAGCAAAAATAACAAGCAGACCTCTTTCACAGACAATAATGTTATATGAAGTTTAAATAACAGAACTTAACTATCTATGCCATACAATTCGCACAGTAAGCAGAAATAACAAGCAAACCTATTTCACATAGTCCAATAACAAGTGGGGTACATGCTAAGGACCATGCTACATTTACACCAAAAAATGTACATAAAGCTTAATCCAAAATCTAAAGTGTTTCCCCAAAAAAATACATTACTTGTTCGGAGGGGTGGGGCTGCCGGAGCTGGAGCTGGAGGGGTGGGCCTGCCGGCGCTGGAGCTGGAGGGGTGGGCCTGCCGGCGCTGGTGCTGGAGGGGTGGGGCTGCCGGCGCTGCCATGCTCTCGACGGAGAAGAAGGACATGGAATTGGAGTTGTCCGAATTCTGTCGCTTGTGGAAGTTGAAGTGAGAGAAGGGAGATTTGGAAATTTTGGGAAAGAAGATGGGAGAGGAAAAGACTAAGAAAAAAGAAAAATTAAAAAAAATAATAAATATATTGGGTGGCATGCTTGGAGGCACATGTGGTGCCTCTTTAGCATTCTCCTATCTATATTTACTGAAAACTTTATTAATCCGTTTTGGGTCGTCTGCCTTTTGGTTCAGTTTCTTTACTCCGTAAATTTCAATTTATGTGGCCGGCTGATCTAACATTTCAGGTTTTGGTTTGTTCTAATCAAATTAAACTGCAATGGCTCTTATGTCCGTCGTAGAATTGCGGTGTTTTACCATTAAAAAGCTACCGCAAATTTGCGACGAATCAACTTTTTCTTCACATATTTTGGATTAGCGATAGTTTATTTGTGACCGATGAACTCCATGGTTGATTTGTCGTAGATTTTGAATCTGCTACGACTTTATTGAATCAGCGACGGAATTTTTCTGTTGCAGATCCAACAGATTTTTGTAGTGTGAGTAGAAATTTATTTAATCCTATTAGTATCCAATACAAATTTAATACAAATGATTATTAAAGTTCATAAAATTTGATTCAAAAAAATTAAATTGCACAAACACTCTAAAAGAATGGGAGAACTCCATATTTTTCAATGCTCAAAATACTAAGGTATGGTTTAATATTGATATGACTTAGTACGTGTGTCATCTTGTTTGTAAATGAGATGATACCAAATGATCATAATATTTACTCTCCACTTTTACTATTGACAATTTAACATTTCGAAATATACTATTCATGTGAAAAAGGTAATATGGAATAGTACATTATAGAGTACCTATTAGCGGGTATTTGAGTTAATTTGGGCCCATATACTTCAGTCCGTCTGTATATTTGTATATATAGACGTTTGTGATTAATGACAAAGGCAGATTAGTTTTTGTTAAAATTTCTACATGGTATCGGAGCCAAACCCTAGGCTCCTTTGTGTCTCTGCTCTCCGGCGTGCAAGTCAATTGTCGACGCCGTATTTGCCGATCAAGATCTCTTTTTCTCAAACGAAGACTTGATCGTGAGTTTTTTGCCTAATTTGGATCGTGTTGTTGCTGATACTTAGTCATGATACATATAATAACAGAAATACTCGCTAACATGTCAAAGGAACCAATTCAACTAAAAGCTCAAGCTTGTGGTTGTGGCTCAGGAAGAGTTTTTTATATTCTAACATGCTCCCTCACGTGCAGGTGTAGTCTTTTTTTAGCCTTGCACGTGAAACTTTTTTATTTCTTAAAACTGGGTGGTGCTGAGTTTCGAACCTGTGACCTCTTAGCCAACAAAGCTCTGATACCATGTATAAATTTTAACAAAAACTGATTTGCCTTTGTCATTAATCACAATCGTCTATATATACAAACATACAAGCGGGCTTAAGTACATGGGTCCAAATTAACACAAATACTCGCTAACAGTACCAATATCAAAATTAGAGCGCAAATATCATTTCCCTTTAAAAAGTAAGAAGGTGTCGGTGGGTGTTGCACCGTAGGCAAAAGTAAAAAGAGCGGGTAAGACTCGAGTTTGATTCTTGACAATTGTGCTGATAGACAACTATGTTAAACATAGAGTCTCTGCAAGTATTACGTGCAGACTACATTCTTTGCCATCAATCTGCGTTCAAAGTCTAATTTATCTTGTATCAATAACCGTCGTGGAAAAACTTGCAGAGATGGGGCTCATTTTTTATTAAGGTAAGATTCTTATAGCCGGTTCTATAAAAAGCTCGGGTAACGGAGTACACCTACGTTTGCATTATATGACTTGTATCCATGTACTCAGAGGCGGATCCAGGATTTCAAGGTCATTGGGTCCCCTACCTGACTACCTTCCATTCTCATGTCAAACTAATTCATAAGTCTTAACATATAACAATAAACTAAAACTAATATTTTAAGAGTACCATAATTAATACATATAAATAAAGTCATACGAAAACAACATCGTTTACAATTGTACTCGTCTAGTTTTCATACTTTAGAAGTGATTTATAATTACATCATCACTAATGGTGGAAAAGACATCTCTCTCAACATAAGTTACTAAGCAGTCATTCAACTATTGATCACAAATTTTATTCTGCAACTCATTTTTCACGAACTTCATTCCCGAAAAAGACTGTTCAACACTTGCTGTTGCCACAGGAAGTATCAATGCCAACTTTATAAGAGCATATACAAAACCATATGTAAGAGACTTTTTAGTGGAAACCATTTTCACCGAGAGCTCAACAATACTCTTTAAATCATTGAATCTATGGTCAGAGCAAACATCCATGATATAATTCTCAAGCTGATTCTCCAAAGTGAAACGATCAACTCCTAAAAATTCATTCGGGTAGAATTCAGTCATTCTAAGTAAAGCTTTCTTGTCAAATGCTTCAAATGAGGAAGATGGATTCAAACAAGCTAGACAGCTCAGCAACTCCGTACTCGCCACATCAAATCGACTATCAAGCTCTTCAACAAACCTATCAATAACCTCAAACAAACAATCTATTTTATAATGATGTATGTTTGAAATAATAGGAGCCCTGCGTGCAGAAGTGTTCACTTTAACATATAAATCATTCATATCAGGCATCTTTAGAGAACCACAAAACACTAAAACCTTTTGGAAAATAAGATTCCATCCATCGTCTGATCGCATGCTCTATAAGCGTGATTTTGCAATCTCGTATCATGTATTTACATGTGACTACGTGAGGCCACACTCATGGATTGGAATAATATACGTCAACGTCGGAGGTATATCTTCGAAAGATCCACAAACAAAACTCTATCAATTTTTTCATATTTTTATTCCATCAATAAATGCTCTTAGAACTAAAATCAAACTATATATCTTGTCATATGACCAACTGTTTTTTGTCCCTGGCCTGTGAAGCTATTTGTAATTAATGGGCTAATGGCATGCTTGATAAAGTTTGATGGAGTGTCACTTGGAGTACTACATGCGGGTGAGTGTAACTTGAAAAATATATACTCTTCTCGTTCTCAAAAATACTCTTCTTACATCTTTTTCAGTTCCAAAAATACACCTCCATTTTTTTAATTAAAAAATTACTTTTACCCATACTTTTTCATATTCTACCTATCACATCATATTTTTTCTCTAATAATCTATCCATGAAATCTTACTTTTACCTATCACATCAAAGGTCAAATTGGAAGTCAATTATAATTTAACCCTTTCTATTTTTATACTTGGTCAAACTATGAATCCTTTTTTAGAACGGAGGGAGTATGTGTTATGAACTTGAAAGAGGGAACGACCAAAAAGTGTATGATAGATTGAAGATGTAGATATTTTGATTGACTTAAGTGAATATATGTTAAACTTTGATTCTTTGAAAAAGAAAAAAAAGGGAAAGGCGCATCACGACCATGATGGCTATCATTGCCAAATGGGCAACACCCCTTCACGCCGATTATGTGTTGAAATATTAGAATAATAATATTGCTCCTTTAATTATAAAGTACATGATGGAGTATATATAGAAGAGACTCCTAACACAACTAGGAATAGAGAATGGAAACTAATTAACATACAACATCTACCACAAATAGGATTAGGAAGCTGACTAATAATGAAACACTACCATAACCAATACTACAAGAAGTTATATTAGTTTTATTGTCTAACATCCCCCCTCAAGCTGAACTCTGGCTGAAGCAAGAGAAAGCTTGGACACTAGCTGGAAACTGGAAACTTTGAGAAAAGAGAAGTTTGACATGCGCCGGTGGCTGCTCACGTCGTTGGAGAAGAGACAAGTCTGACGTGCGCCGGTGGCTGCTGACGTCGTTGGAGAAGAGAGAAGTATGACGTGCACTAGTAGCTGCTAACGTCGTTGGAGAAGAGAGAAATTGACGTGCGTTGGTAGCTGCTGACGTCGATGAAGAAGAAAGAAGATTGACGTGGGTTGGTAGCTGCTGGTGTCGAAGAAGAATAGAGAAGGCTACTGGAGGTGCATGTTTGACTGAAGATCCTTGACATTCTTTGTCTTTTTTCTTGGATCCGGGCAATGCCCTATTTCTTTCTTGAAGGGTTGTAGATGTATTATTTCCTCTTTCACTACTTCCTCTCCTGGCTTTGCTTTTGTGTTGTTTTTTTTTGGAATATTTTGTGTAACAAAAGAAAAAGAGAAGAAAGATTGATGATTAGAATGAGTGATTTGAGAGAAGAAAAAAAAGTGGATTAAGAATTGGTGAAGGAAAAAAATTTGGGGTTTGAGATTTTGATATGGTGAATTGGAGAGCAACTATCATTTTTTTCCTTTTTTTGAGAAGATAGGATTAGTTGAGAGAGTTTGTGAGGAGTTGAGTTTTTTTTTGAAGAACCATGAAGATGACAAGAGAGAAGTTCTGCCTTTGATGGTTTTTTTGTATGATTTCAACAAGGTTGTTTTCCTTTTTTTCGTTTGAATGGAGACGTTGATTTGAGGATAAAAGAAGGAAAAGAAAATAGAGGTGAATAAGGTGGAGCCGCCGTCACCGGAATTACCGGCGGCGGCGGTGGGAGCAAAGAACTCTTTTAGGTCACCAAGAGCGGTGACTCTGATATCATGGTTCTTCAAAAAAAACTCAACACCTCCGATACCATGTTGAAATATTAGAATAATAATATTGCTCCTTGAATTATAAAGTACATGATAGAGTATATATAGAAGAGACTCCTAACACAACTAGGAATAGAGAATGGAAACTAATTAACATACAACATCTACCACAAATAGGATTAGGAAGCTGACTAATAATGAAACACTACCATAACCAATACTACAAAAAGTAATATTAGTTTTATTGTCTAACATCCCCCCTCAAGCTGAACTCTGGCTGAAGCAAGAGAAAGCTTGGACACTAGCCGGAAACTGGAAACTTTGAGAAGAGAGAAGTTTGACATTATGGCATGGGATGGAGGGCGTGGTGAGGGGCTGGTAGTGACACCGGTGGGAGACACCCTACAACCGGTGGCTTGACGACACACTGACATATATTTTTTCCTTAAAAGATGGAAGAATTTGCGTAAATAGCACTAAAACATAATGACTTTACCTAAATAGCACTACATGTGTTTTTTCTCAATGTAGCACTTTTAGGCATTATTCAAGTAAATATTCGCCATTACTGGTCATTATGGACATTATTTAGTGCTATTTAAAAAATGACTTAAGTTTTAGTGATATTTAGTGCTAAAAGATGACATACTCTATTTTTTTGATACATAAATGTAACATACCAAAAATTATATACATAAAAATTCTGCAAAACAAAAGTTAACTTACGATGGAGTCTTGTATTTTATACCACCCTAAAAATAATTAAAAGATCAGAAAGTACCCCTATAATTTAACCCTGTAAATAACTAATAATAGGGGAATTTACCTAAATAAGATTAAAATATAATGAATTTCTCAATATAGGACCCTATGTTTTTATTTTCCAATGTAGGATCATTGGTCATTATCCATTAGTCATTATTCAAGTGAATGTTTACCATCAATGTACATTATTCCTCCCACTATACATTATTAGGTACTATTTAGGAAATAAAAAAGTTTAACTCTGACATTGGGAAAAGACTTATGTTTTAGTCTTATTTAGTACTCACTCATTTCCTAAATAGATTACAATTTTTTTCTCTCCTTTCGATAACCTTTATTTGTTTACGCGATTTCATTAAGTATTTGATAAAATAAAATATTCTTGTCACCTCTTATTTTGTAGAACTTTTGATGTAATTTTTTAATATGTAATTTTTATATCTTATTCATGTACTAATTTGTAAATAAAATGATTTTTCAAAAAGTAAGAAATTTTACTCCGTAACCCATAATTTGTAATAAAATTGGGGACGGAGGGAGTATAAATTTCACTTAATAATACTCCCTCCGTCCTACAAAATCTTTCTCATTTTTTTCATCTGTCTCAAAAAACTTTTCTCATTCAGTCATTCCTATTAAAAAGTCATTTTTATCCATACTAATTCTTAACATACCGATCACATCACATTTTTTCACTACTAATCTACCAACCACATCTACTTTTACCTATTACATCCAAGAATATTTTTGAAAATTCAATACCAAAATATACTCGTCTTAAATCTCTTAAAAATCAAAGCAAGAAATGTTTTGTGGGAGAACCAGAGTAATAAAGTTTATTTTGAGAAATTAAGAAGCACAAAGTACATTTTGCTACATAAGACTCCGTATATATCGGTTCGTATATTTGTTTTCATCTGGTAAAAATCTTCATAATTACTATATATTCTCTTGTAAAAATCTACAAAGTACTTCTTCCGTACCTAAAAGATTGCCACAGTTCGACTTTTTGGTCAAGTTGTGACATACTGTCACCACAAATTATATATAATTTAAAATAATTAAATATTATAAAAAATTTGGTATTTCAAAACTATATTTTAAAATAAACTTAATTCTATTAAATTTATACTCGTAATATAACCAAATATACCTTCTCCATAATTCACTGTTAAAAGGTGTCAGAGTTTGACTAAAAAAATCAAACTGTGGCAATCTTTCAAGTAGGAAGCGAGTAGATAATTACAAAAGGCAATCTTTACAAAGTGGGTATATACCAAGTAGTTCAATTCAAGGAATTGAAACTTATTATAAAAGGCAATCTTTCACTATATTTTTGTACACAGTAAATGGAGAAATTCACATGCATGCACCCTAGCCGCTAATAATACCCAGTAATAATTGATTTTAATGTTATTATTTCACCTTAGGAGAATGGTTATTGCCAAGTCTTAGCTCCAGATCCAATTCCTCCATGATCCCATCCGGCTGCTGCAGAGGATGACGACGACCAACACGATGGCATAATAATCTATCAACCAAACACACCTTTTCATTTCCAGCTGGTTTCTTAATACAACCAAACATCATCAGATTATTAGTATTATAGGCCTTCATCATCACCAACGACTCTTCTACCACATTCCCCAAACAACTCTTCTTCTTCCTCTTCTTCTCGCCGATTTCTTCATCGTCCGAGAGAGGAGATCGAGACGACGACTGGTGCTTCAGTCTCGCTCGCTCTCTCCTGTGCACGTTCATATGCCCGCCCAGAGCTTGGGCGGACATGAACTCTCTCCCACAGAAGCTGCAGGAGTAAGATCTCGGAGGCCAAACGCATCCTCCGGGATCTTGCTGATCCTCCCACGAGTCGAGTTTTCGTTTGTCGTCGCTCCGCCTCGTTGTGGTCGTCGGCGTCCAATTACTTTGCTCCTTCATATGCAGTCGTGTAGAGAGAGATGGAAGAAGCTAGGCTAGCTAGGATGCAGGCCAATGATGGAGAAAGAATGAAATTCAAGATGCGTGCCTAGCTAGGTAGGCTAAAGTAAGTGAGAGGATATTATCAATATATATACATACACCGAGTATATATCAAATTTAAACATACACAAATTGTTTTGTGGTTTTTGTCAAAGACCAATTCAACCAAAAGCTCAAGCTTGTGGTTGTGGTCCAGGAACAGTTATTTATATTCTAACACGTCTCCTCACGTGCGTAGTCTTTTTCGAGCCTTGCACGTGAAATCTTAATTTTTTTAAACTGGGTGGCGCGGAGTTTCAAACCCGTGACCTCTTAGTCAACCTGGCTTTGATACCATGTCAAGGAACCAATTCAACCAAAAGCTCAAGCTCGTGGTTGTGGCCCAAGAACAGTTATTTATATTCTAACAGTTTTTAAGTTCATGATCACTTTATGTAATATCAATATATATTACATTAAATATTGAGTAATTTACCTAAATAGGACTAAAACATAATGATTTTCTCAATATAGGACCATATGTTTTTATTTCTCAATGTAGGACCATTAGTCATTATCTATTAGTCATTATTCAACTAAATATCCAGCATTACTTGGACATTATTCTTCTCAGTAGTCATTATTAAGTCTTATTTAAGGAATAAAAAAGTTTAAGTCCTACATTGAGAAATGACTTATCTTTTAGTCATATTTAGTGCAAATTTCACTTAAGTATTCATCTCCCGGCCTAATATGCTCATCAATCTGATAAGATCCACATTTGGCATATGTATCTAGCTTAGGACAACAATAGCACAACTCATTTATACATTTTTAACTTCCTCCAAAAAATTGAAATATATGCACTAAATACTACTAAAACTTAAGTCATTTCTTTAAATAGAACTTAAACTGTTTTATTTTTCTAAATAACACTTAATAATGTCCAGTGATGACAAACATTTACTTGAATAATGACTGATGGATAATGACTAAAAGTGTCACATTGGGGAAAAACACATGTGATATTATTTAGGAAAATTCATTATGTTTTAGTATTATTTAAGTAAATTTCCAAAAAATTATATTCATGATTTTAGAGAGTTTAAAAATGTCAAAAAATATAAATTTAAAAATTTGTCAACAATCCAAAGATTTTGTGGTTGAGCGGGATAAATGTGGTTCTCCCAAGTCCCAAATCTAAACTGAACTAACGAAAATAGATAAAAAAAAAAAGTATTAAATTTTAGACGTAAGATGTATTAGCGACAAATTTAAAGTTTATAGTTTTGTACTTTAATTACCTCGAGTTTAAGTTAATATGGAGTAATTATCTAACCGATTCTACAGACCCTATGAATGAGATTATCCTACATATCTTTTTTTTTCTTTCTAGTTTTATATAGTACTAATATATTTCCAATTTGTTGGGACTAATATATTTTTTTTTCTTTCTGGTTATTATTCCTATTTCTGCATCACTTGTGAATTAATGTTCATCTCTCTCCTCAATTTATTTTTCCTGTTTATTACTTATTCTTATTATAACTAGATCAAAAATACTTTTAATTATAACTATAATTAGATCAGACCAGATCGAATCAGATAAAAAAGATCTTCAAAGGATCAGATGAACGAAAACTCAGCCTCAGAATAATATATATGCGGCTGGCCGGAGATTATATATGCGGCCGGCCGGCGTGCTTTTAATAAGTGTATTTGTACGGAGTAATTCTTTGATTTGTTGTTTTTTTATACAGTCTACTTGGACAATGATACATTTTATTGTCTCAACGCTGGACAATGATACACATAGTATTACGGCGCAAGAACTTTTTTTTTAAATAAGGTGTCCATTTACTTAGAATCTCATTTTATGAAACACGGAGTAAATTTAAATATCAAATGAATTTGTTATACATTCCTCTAAGACCCTATGTTATGGTGGCCCGTGAAGGGATTGACCTCCTCCTTCACGCCCCATACACGCCCATTCACCATACCGGAGTCTTGTAAGGTGGGTGTGGCCCCTTACTTCCTGCATGAGGGCCATTCCGCCATTGCTACGTCCCAAGTTTTCTTTTTTTAAATTTCAACCAATCAAAATTTAACAATATTTGTTCCGAAAAAATTCGACAACATTCACACTCACCATAAAATGTATTTTTCATCACTTCATATCATACATTTTTACACATAGTCAAACCCCCCTTAGAGTATATTTATTTATATTTGTATTTTATGTATTGGACTAGTCACATTGGGCCCGTAGCCTAGTTGTGTCACACATGTATATCAATGGAATACGCACCAGTTTACATTCACTTAATTTTACAGAGTATCAAAGCCAATTTTAACACACCTCGTCTTTCAAGATGTCTGTCTGGACGTTCATTCCTAATGGCCCTAGTCTTTAGCCCAGTTGTTCGTGGGGAATGTATACCAACGACTTGTGACCTGTTTAACTCGATTGCTCGTCTAAAAGTCTGATCCATACCCAGCAACTCATGGATATCATTTATAAGTGGTCAACTGGCCGGTTAGATTCAAAATGGTTCGGCTATCCACTTAAGAGGAAGTGTTAAAGTATCCTACATCAAAACTTGATGAGAAAACAAATCAGTATATGAGCTCTTGAGTTGAATTAAGTAATCGATTGAATTCAATCTTTCAATGTGGTTCAACCCAAGTACCTTATGGCTCAATTCAGTTATCCCTACCCGGCCCATTTTAAATTTTATCAAATAAACAATAATCCTATACTACCCTCTATTCTTTATTGAATAAGTTAAATTCTAACATTTGTCCTTCAAGTTTATGTAATATGCACGATTAATCTTCCAAATTTAAAAATCTATGAATACTCCTTCAAGTCATGAAAAAGTTGCTCATTTGGTCCTTTTAATTTATTAACTTTGCCGTTCATTCATGTATTTTTTCAAATTTTCATTATAAATACATGTGAAGATTTAAGAACTTTTTTATACAATTAAGTCATATTTCATATAAGTCTATTTTTTAACAATAATAACTTACTCTTATTTTTATTATGTCCATTTGTTTAATAATAAGAAGTTACTCTTACTATTATTGGTCTAATTTTTTAAAATACTCTTCCAGACCTAATTAAGTGTATGTCAAAGTTTTATTTTTCAAAAAAAGAGAGTGAGTATTTATTTTTTTCCAATACAATTTTAATTGAAATTATACGTAACACTAATAATAGTCCTTCAAGCCACATTAGCGTTGCACGGTTGGTCCTTCCATTAATTTTTCCATTAATCCATACATTTTTAATTTTTCCATTTTAATTACATGTGAGGAATTCTTTTTTTCTTCATATAATTGAACCAAATAATATAGTTCCATTTATAATAATAATACTCCCTCCGTCCAAAATTAAACTTTACATTACGCGTTACGATGTTTGACTGAAGTTATTTTCAAATCATTTTATATGAAAAATGGTGTAGAATTGAAAAATAAAAATTACATATTAAAAAACTATATCAAAAGATCTACAAAACTAGAGGTGACATGACTATATTATTTTATCAAATGGGTGACGAAAATAGGCGAACAAAGTGAATAAAGTTTGACCATGTGAATAGTGAACGTAAAGTTTATTTGTGACGGAGAGAGTAGTTACTATTACTTTGATTACTCCAATTTTTTAAATAAAATAAGTTATTTTTACTTTTATTAGTTTATTTTTATAAAAAAATACTCACTCCGCCTTAAAGTACCTATAAAATTTTGACTTATTAGGGTCAACCAAGTATATTTTTTTACCATAGCTCAATTAAAACGAATCTACAAAAAGTATGACACAATTGTTTGAAAAAAAGAAGGTTCTTTATTTATATTTATAATGAAAAACGAAAAAATGCATTGAGTAACAATAAAATTAACCGAAGGACTAACCATGCAACACTAACGTGACTTGAAGGACTTTTCGTAAAATTTTTAAAGTTAAAGGACTAACCATGCAACTATAACATGATTTGAAAGACTATTCGTAGAATTTTTAAAATTAAAAGATTAATCGTATAACGTAATTAATAACTTGAAGGACCAACCGTGAAGTTTAGCCTAATATTAAATAAAAACATTTCAATAATTTAGGCGGCAGATCAGATCCACTAAGATGTGTGGTGACAAGACTAAAGATTGTGGGAGGAAGAAGACAAAGATTAAATGTGCGACAATATAAAGGTTATACTATACCCCGGCCCGAATCTAGCTTATAATTAATTCCAGTCTCAGATTTAACAGTCGGCCAAAATATATGGCCATGGCACCGGCCTTCTTGGCTGTACTAGCTGCTTCGAGAGGATAAGATATACTCCATCCTTCCTGAAACCTTTCTCTTTTCTTTTTTTATCTGTCCTAAAAAACACTTGTCATTTCTATTAAAAAATTACTTTTACCTCTTACTTTTTCATACCTTATCTATCACATCATATCTTTTTACTAATAATCTATCCATCAAATCATACTTTTACCCATCACATCAAAGGGCATTTTTAGAAATTCAATACCAGAATACACTTCCCTTAAATCCCTCTTCAAAATCATAACTCCCATGTTTTCCGGGACGGATGGAGTATATGATACTCGATCATATTATTGCATGGGTAGGGCCCTACTCAATATGAGCTTTTGGGGGAGGGGTTGTAAACTAGATAATGACTCCTAGCTAAATCACTTTGTTTAATTTGGAGTGAAAAAAATCTTCTATTTATGTATACTCATTATTTCATGATCAAATTTTAATTAATTTATTTTCTTAATTTTCATATGGTTGATGAATTAGAAATAATGATAGAATAAATTTACAGCTTAATTGTTCATCTTATTCAATACATCACTCATCATGTCTATAAATATTACAAAGTACATAAAGAGGACAATCAAAAAAAGTGAGTGGAAGTTAATCAAATATCTTGATTGGTAATTTGATTCCATTCAAGGATATTATCCTAATAATCAATATTATTCCTTTGTTTGACATTTCTAACACCCTCTCTCAAGTTGAATCATCTGTTCCAGATATTTAACTTGCATAATGTTGCTTGAAAGAC